TGGATGAGTGTCGTCTGTCTCTGGATTTTCAGAACAGCATGAGGTTGTGTGATGTGACTGAATCTGCTTCAGTAGACGTCCTGCTGACAAACCTCATTGTGGGGAATCTGCTTCCCTCTGCACTCATCTGGATCACCTCCAGACCAGCAGCAGCTGATCTCATTCCCTCTGAGTGTGTCCATCGAGTGACAGAGGTACAAGGCTTTAATGACCCTCAGAAGGAAGAATACTTCAGGAAGAGAATCACTGATGAGAGTCTGGCTGAGAGAATCATCTCACACCTGAAGTCATCAAGGAGCCTCTTCATCATGTGCCACATCCCAGTGTTCTGCTGGATCTCAGCCGCTGTTCTAGAGAAGATGTTGAGTGAAGCAGAGAGTGGAGAAATTCCCAAGACTCTCACTCAAATGTACACACACTTCCTGGTCCTTCAGACCAAAATCAACAATGAGAAAGACTATGACAAGAAAGTGAATGATGAAGACATGATCTACAAACTGAGCAAACTGGCTTTTCAGCAGCTTATGGAAGGAAATCTGATCTTTTATGAAGAAGATCTGAGAGAGTGTGGCATTGATGTGACAGAAGCATCAGTGTACTCAGGATTGTGCACTCAGATCTTTAGAGAGGAGTTTGTACTGTGTCAGAGAAGAGTCTACTGTTTTGTTCATCTGACTATGCAGGAACATCTTGCAGCCCTGTATGTGTACCTCTCCTTTATCAACAATAAGATAAATGTGTTCAATATCACACCAGATCAATATACCACACCATCTATGTTATCAAATCCAGGAATGTTTCTATCTGACCTGCTTAAAATTGCTGTTGATAAAGCCCTGGCCAGTGCAAATGGGCATCTGGATGTATTCCTTCGTTTCTTTCTGGGCCTCTCATTGGAGTCCAATCAGACTCTCTTAAAAGGCCTTCTTAAACAACCAGGAAGTAGCTCCGGTTGCACAGGAAAAACCATTAAGTACATCAAACACAAGATAATGGAGAATCCCTCTCCAGAGAGGTCCATCAACCTGTTCCACTGTCTGAATGAACTGGGTGACCATTCTCTTATCAAGGAAGTTCAGCATTTTCTTAATTCTGGAACAATAAGAGGAACACAACTTTCACTCTCTCAGTGGTCAGCTGTTGCCTTTGTGTTGCTGACCTCAGAAGAGCTGGATGTGTTTCACATGAGCAAATATGCCAGAATGTGCAGTGACATTGATGAAGTTCTTGTGAGGCTGCTGCCTGTGATTGAAGCTTCTAAAACAGCCCAGTAAGTACCACTTCTGATTGTTTTAATATGACAACAATCTTTCTAGTCAATAACAAGAGTAGAAAATTGCATGTTCCTTCACCAGCATGGACAACAAAAATTAATCACTGGTGAAGGTTAATCACTTATTTGTTAAAACACATTAATTCAACAAACCCTCTGTTTTGAAAGTCTGTTTTGAAATTTTAGATAGCAATCTGTTAGTTTACTTTTTTGTGCGTATTTGTTGCAATTCTTGTATGTATGATTTACCTGTCCTACTCCTTGTAAGAGTGAAACTTGGTTCATGTTTTGCCAGATAGTCTAAATTACCAGTAGTCCAAATAAAACTGAAATGTCAAACTTGTGAAAGTAGTTTATAGTCCACAAACCAAGCTACTTTTTTCTTGAAAGTGCAAAGTCTAATGTTTATGCTTAGTCTAATGCAGGTTAGAACAAACTCTACACTGCATCTGAAGATTTACTTTAATCCCATTTACTGTAATTTCATCATCTTTTTTCTTGTACAGTCTTCATTACTGTATACTGTCAGAGAAGTGTTGTAAAGCTTTAGCCTCAGCTGTCAGTTCAAATAACTCCTGTCTTAGGGAGCTGAACTTAAATGGAAATGGACTTAAGGATGAAGGAGCGATGGACTTCTTTTCTGGTCTAGAGAGTCCACATTGTAAACTGGAGGTACTGAGGTAAGTATATGCAAGGTTGCAACTCCTGAACATGAGACAGGGACACCCTCACAAGCAGTCATTTGTAATGGAGCTGAAATGGAGTGGGAGGTTAATTGTGATTTATTTATTTTGTATGTTTACACTATTTGTCATTGTATTGTTAGTATCATTTATCATATGATAAAGTACTCATCAGTATATCATTTGTTTCCCCCACAGGCTTGCAAACTGTAAACTGACAGACAAAAGTTGTTCTGTTATGGCTGTAGCGCTTAAAACAAAATTATTGAGCTTGAAAGAGCTCAGTCTGAATTGCAATAACCTGCAGGACACAGGAGTAAAGCAGCTTGCTGCTGGATTGCAGAATTCATACTGTAAACTGGAGATATTTAAGTAAGATCATGTATACACACACACACACACACACATATATATATATATACACTGAACAAAATTATAAACGCAACACTTTTGACATTCAATCTTAAAATTAATGTAGAAACAACATAAAGAACTGTAGATTTTTTATATTTGTTTAATTTCATCTTTTTTATGACTGAAGCCAAATATTACTGATACCAATACTACTGATGTCTCTATGAAATTGTTTTTTTCCTAATATTTAACCATTGACTATAGCCGTTCAACACTACAGTATAATTGAGAGCTATCAATTGTAACATTTATTAGACTTTAAAAAATAACTGCTAATTTAAGTGAACTTAAAACAATCTTCACATGAACCCATTATAATAAATGTCATATTTACCTGTGCCCTTCAGCAGAAATATACAGAAAAATAAAGATTAATCCTTAAAGCTACCAAAGTTATTGATTTCCAAAGTTATTTAGATTTTTTTTTCTTTTGTTCTTTGATGAACAGACATCACAGCAGCTGGTTATTAGGTTATTTTGGCTGCTTTAAGAGCTGCTGCTGCTGTTGAACATGACGTGGATCTGACACGCATCGTATTTTCTCACAACTCTTTACCTTTTCTGACCAATGA